TATTTTGTAAAAGCATTAAAAAAGTAATATAATAATATTTTTATTTTTTCAATTTATAAAATTATAATAATTTTTTTTTTTATATATTTAATATTTATATTTGTTATTTTTTTCTCATATGAAATAATTTTCCTTATTAAGTTTAAATAAAATAAAATTATATTTTTTATTTTTTAAAATAAAATTAATATAAACCTTTATTTAAAACTTAAATTTTTATTTTTTATATATATATTATCTAAAAGGTATTTCTTTAATTCATTAAAGTTAAATTATTTTAAAAGAAAAATAGTAACTATTTTTTTATTTTTTTTATATTATTTTTAATATAACATATTAAACTGAATAGAATATTTACCTAAATAAAATAAAATGTATAGTAATTTCTGAAAAATACTAATTATTTATAAATTTTTTACTTCATGTAATAAAAAAATAATATAAAAAAGACTTAAATATTAAATATATTTAAAATATATTTATATATTATTATTATTTATTGTATATATATTTTTAAATTTATATTTATATATAATATTGTATATATTAATTAATTAAATTTATATTTTAATTTATTTAAAATTATTAATAAAATTATTTGGATTGGCGGTAATATATATTTTTTATGAATTTAATAAAATAATATCTTATATATAAAAATATTAAAATAATATAAATAATATATTTTTAATTTTAATTAATATAATTATAGACTTATATAAATATGCAATAAATCATTTCTACAAAAACCTTATTAAATATAAAGAAAATATAATTTTCAGAATAAAAGCGAAAACAAAAACGAGAATAAGCAATAAGGAATTTTCGTTATTAAATAAAAAATTTAACTGAGATTCCTTAAATAAATCCTAAATCAAATATATAATAATAAGAAATATAAACTTAGTAAATAATAAATGCCTTAAAGAATTTAAATTATGAAACAATATCATAGAATGATTAATAGTCATTAGAAAAGAATATAATTAACTTTATTAATATAGAAATATTTATAACTTCTTTATAAAAATATAAATTTTTATTAGAAAAAGATATAGTAATGTGTGCTGATATAAATTAATATTTTCCAATAAAATTGCTTGAATATTTAGATTAATTAAAAGACTTTCCATATACAATAGTAAAATTTATATATAAATATAAATATATATATATATATATATATATATATATATATATATATATATATTAATATTAGTATTTAATATTATGGATATTATCTTTTATATGTGGAAATGCAAACACAAATATAATAAATGAACTAATTTATAAAGGAATATTAAATAAAATTTAATTAATATTTCCTGTATTTATAAATTATCTTGAAATATAGGATCTTTTAGTTGAAATAATAGGAAATTTAGCTGCAGATGATTAAAATACTAGAAATTTAATATTAAAATCGGAAATTCCATATATAATAAAAGAAAATTTATTCAAAACAAATTATTTCGAAGAAGTTTAATTTACAAATACTTGTATATGGGCACTAACAAATTTTTGTGTAGTAAAACAAGTAAGGGAATTTTAAGAGTTAGAAATGTTTTTTGATATATTTACACGTGCAATAACTAAATATTAATCTGAACAAGAAATAGTTTAAAATTGCTTATATTCTTTATCTATATTTGCGAGTAAATAAAATCAAATATATATATTATTATTTTAATTTAATATTCAAAAAAAAGAAAAAGCTAAAAAATTTGAAGAATTAAATTTATTAACAAATAATTCATTTTTAAATTTACTTATTTATTATTTATAACATGAAAATGAAATTTTTCGTGAAAAAGCATTTCTTATTTTAATTGAGTTTTCGTAAAAAGATTACTTTTAAAATTTTCTTTTAGCAAATAATTTAGATAAATATATTTTCTTGGAAATAAATAATAGTAATATATAATAGAAATAGAATAAATTTCTCAAAAAAAATGCTGTTTTTACTTTATATAACCTAGTTTATGATAATAGTTAAATATTTTAATTTTTAATCGATAAAAAATATAACTTTCCTATGTATTTTTTTACGCCTTAAAAAACATTTCATATGATAAAACATTAATTTATTTACTTTATATAATTGAATGGATTTAAGATAATTTCTAATAATATTTTTGGATGGAATTTAATAAGTAATAATTATATGAAAATTTTGATTTACTACTAGATTATCAAAATATTGATATTTTATAGGTTTGTTTAAATATTATTAATAAAATGTTTGAATATTAATAAAATAATTATGGATTTTAAAATGATTTAAAATAATAATTTGGTGTTAAAAATTAAATTTCTGAAACTTAGATACTCAATAAAATTCTTTAATTATAATCAAATGAGTCTAATCATGTTGCTCAGATGGCTATTGATATTTTAGACACATATTATTCTGAAATTTGTTGATTATTTAATAAAAATAAAATATAAATAATAATTTTTTGTATTTATATATTTATTTATTATATGAGCTGTAAATAAAATATTAATTTATTTTAAATATTAGATATATATTTATTTATATAATTCTATAATTAAAAATAATTGAAATGAAAATAATTAATTTTCAATGCACATTAATTTTTAAAAATATATTTTATATTTAAAAAAATAAATATTTATATAATTATTAATTTTATTATTTGATTTATATTTTAATATATTGTAAATACCCGTCTAGCTCAGTCGGTAGAGCGCTAGCCTTTTAAGCTAGTGGTCAAGGGTTCGAGCCCCTTGGTGGGTGTTTTTTTTTAAAAAAAATAAAATAAAAAAAAATTGTATATATAAAAAGTAATATTTTAATATAAATATATACTAACTATAAATATATTAATAATATAATATAATATAAAATTATTTATTTTTAAAAAAAAAATATTTTTACTTATATATATTAATAAAAAAATTTATTTTAATAAAATATTGTTTTTATAAAATATTAAATGGAAAAAATATTTTTTAAAGTTTAAAAATTATTATTTCTGCTTAATTTTATTGTAAAATATATACATAGAAAAGTACATTACTAATTATTATTTTTATATATTTTATAATAAATAAAAATACAAATTCATGTTTTAATTTTTATTGTTATTAAAATAATTATATAAACTTAGTTTATTGTTAAAAGCATTTTTAATCAATAGTTATTTATATTTATATTTCTATATCAGAAATAATTTTACAACGTGTTAATTATATGTAATTTTTTTATTATTAAAAAAATTATTAATTAATAAAATTTATGCCTTACTTAAAATATAAATATTTGATAAGTAAATTAAGATAAAATTCATAAAAAAAAAATATAAAGAATATTTATTTATCTTAAAATGATAAAAATTTTATTAAAATCCTTAAATTTTACTAAAAAATAGTATGCCGATTTTTATATATACGTTTCCATAACTGTAAAAAAAAAATTAAAAATTTAAAAATAAAATCACTATCAAAAAAAGAGCCCTAACTAAATTACAGTAACATCAAATACTGTATAATATTCAAAAAGCGATAACTCAGCCGTATTTTCAGAAAATCAATACATAAAAAACATTGGCTCATCATAATAAATAGACTATTTAATATTTGAAATATACGAAAAATATCCTAATAATAGAATAATAGCCAAAAAGACAATTGATACGAATGAATTAGTATTAAAATTAAAAAAAAAATTAAAAAAAAATCAACAAGTTAAAAGTAGATTAAGTAGCCATCAAATGTTTAGATAATAAAAACGAAATAATCTTAACAATGATAGTCGAAATAGATTTTCCAACTCCTGTGTAAACAAAAGATTCTGCAAAGCATTCATTGTAAAATTTTTCGAGTTTAGCTTCCAAAGACAATAATCTAACATTAAATAGAATAAATTAAGTCTATAATAGCAATGATAAAAAACAGGGAAACTAACATGGTTTATTTGGTGATATAATGTAATAAATGACTTAATAAATGCAAGATATGAGTGAAAAATATCCAGAAAAAGACTTAGAATTATTAAAAATGAATGACATATTAATTCAATTTGTAAAAAATTAAGTCCAGTAGTATAAACATCAAATTATTTGAGAGAATTATATTAATGGACAAATCCATTATAATCTTTTCTTTTTGGAATTTTTACTACTTTATTAATTTTATATCCTATTTAGATTTTGTTAATATTTTTTCTTTATGCATACGTAAATACTAGTCAAATAACAAAACTCATATTTAAATTCGGGAGGAAATAAATCAAAGAAAATAATTTAATTTAAGAAAATTTGACGAAAATCAAATAATTCAAAAATAATATGATTTTTGTATAATCTGGATAAAAAGACTACATAAATCTTCATGATTTGGTATCAAATGCAATTTAATAAGAAGACAAAACACAAGTTGTTTAGATTATTTAAAAGTTCAGAAATTATTCGCTTTTCATTATTCCTTTTCTTTTATTTATTTCCTTTTAAACTCTTCTTTTAATTATTTTTTGGAATTCTCTTCTTTAAAATACTAAATTAGGGTGTTTCATGTAAAAATCATAATCCTAAAGAGTATATGTTTTTTTTTTTATATATTTTTAAATAATAATTATAAATACATTAATTATATATTTATATATTATATGTTTAAGCTATTTATATAAAATTAAATAAAAATAAAGCTTGATAAAATTGCATCATGCTTAAATAAATATTTAGAAAATAATATTCTTTTGAAATATTGTCCTTAAATAATAGTAAATGCTCTTTAAATTCCTGAAAAGCAATCAGGAATTTAAAAAGTTAAAAAGAAATTTATCATATAGGAAAATTAAAGATGGTGGCTAGGAAAAGATTGGATTAATGTAATGTTACCAGGAGATTTTCCTGATTGGTCAGATGATTAAGGTTTAAAATCTCTTTCTAAATGCGATTTTAAGCTTCCTAATGAAAACTGGGAATGGGATGGAGAGTGGAAAGTTTAAATTTCATCGAATACAGATAATTAAGGTTGGATGTATGGAAAAAGATTTAAAGATGCATAAGTTATAAATTGGAATAAAAGTTTCTATTATGTTAGAAAAAGAATATGGACGAGAACTTGTAGTATATTAACTAGTTATTATTATGAAGATGAATGAAAAAATATATAAAAAATGGTGTAATTTATAAAATATATAAATTAGAAAAAAATAATATATATTTTATAAAAACAATCAAAAAATTAAATATGAGAAAAAATAAATTATTTTTTTATATTTTTTGATTTAAATTTTATAAAAGAATTAAATATATACATAATTTTATATTTCATTTTAAATTGTCATAATTATTTATTTCAGTTTTCTTAAATTAAAATTTTTTGCTTAGATCTAAAATTAATTATTTAAAATTATTATTTACTGATGGTGTTTTAAATTATTTTTTATATTATTATTATTATTATTATTATTATTATTATTATTATTATTATTTATTTTTTTATTTGTTTTTCAAATTTTATTTTTTTATGTTAAATCCTTTTAAAAAATTATTTGTATTTATACTATTAAAAAATTAATTTTTGCATTCTTCATCTTTACTTATACTTGAATATGGTCTTATTAAGTTTTTTCTAGAATTGCTATTATTATATGTATTTGAATATTAAGTATTACATATATTTTAATTAGAATTATTTAAACTTAATTATGATTTATTTTTTTATTTATTTGGAATATATATTTTTCTTTATTTTATTTATTATTTTCCATTTTTGTTATAATATTCGTTTCTTATTTATTATGTCATTAAACTATTTTCAGTTTATATTATATCTTTTTACTTATTTTTTTAATTAATATTATAACTATCGTTTTCTTCAATTTTTATTAATTTATTTTTTATTTTTTCCTTTATTTATATATACTCTAATGTTTAAGTTTTAATGGGAAATTCTTATTTACTATAAAAAAAATTATTTGAATTGTTATTATAAAGTTTATTTTTCTTTTTATTTTCTTTTTATTTTTTTTCTTGTGATATTTTTTCTTGTGAATTTTAATTTCATAAAGTATTTTCATCAGAATATTAATTTGAAAAAACAGATTATTTATGAGTCAAAAATTTATTTTTAATTTATTTTTAAGACTCCTATATAAATTATAAATTTAAAAAAAATAATTTTTATATATAAATATTTAAATTAACATTCATAGAAATATAATCATTTTTATCGAATGTATTTTTGAGTATTTATTTTAATTTTTAATTCATAATAAGATTTTTATTTTAATTTAAATAATTTTTGTAAGGCAGTTTTTAGTTTTATTTCTTTTTTTAAATTTCTTTAATTTGATTATATATCTCTAGTTTAGAAATAACTTCATCAAAAACAACTAAATCTTTAAATAGTTCATAAGTATTTATATCTATATCTCTCGTATTAATTCCTTCTAATAAGTCAATTTATTATTTTTTATTTTAAAAATTAAAATATTTATTATATTGTTTTTTTTCATCCTAAATTTGATTTTATTTCTTTACTTTATTATGATAAACAGGAAAAGATAATTAGATATTTTACTTTGAAGTAGTTGAACTTATTTTTTAATTTTCAAATTTACTTTCACTTAAATCATTAATATTATTTTATGTGTTTATATATTATTGATTAATTGATTAATTTTTTGTTTCATTTTTTTAATCTATTAAGTTATTTATTACTTATTTTTTTTAATTAAACAAAAAAATTAATAAAACATATTTTAAAATATTATACTTATCTAATTTAATTTTTTCTTCTATTTTTTAACATTTTAATTTAAAATAGTTTATTCATCAATTAAATTACTAATTTCGTTTTAAGATTCATATTTTACAAACTTAGGATCTTTCATCGCAATTTCAGAAAGCGTTTTAATCTCTTTATAATTTAAATAATTACTAACATAAGCAGGTAATATATTATTATTATTATCATTATTTTCTTTTTTTTAAAACGGATATTCATTATTTTCCTTTTAATTATTTTCATTATCTAAATTATCATTATTATCATCATTATCTTAACTATAATATATAAAATTCATTTTAATTTATTTAGATTCTTATAATAATTCATTTTAATTAATTAAATTAGCTTTATTATCAGTCAAATATTACCAATAACTATTCACATGATTTTATATTTACAGAATTCTTTAGTTTATTTTTTACTAATTAGTTTATAATAACTTCATTATATATTCTCTACACACTAAGTCGTTAAAAATTTTAGCCATAAATAATTTTTTTTAGATAACAATTAACTCGCCATCAAAACTATCGCAAATAACACTATATTATCTTTTTTCATTATTACTTAATTCAAATTCACCAAATATATCCTAATCACAGAATGAAAATATCTATAAAAAAAAATATATATATATATATATATATATATATATATATATATATATATTTATATAAATATTTTAATTTTTTTTTTTTAACTGGCATTTGTTTGTAATTCTACTTTTCATTTGTATTAAATTCTATTAAATCTTAATTAACTAATCTTTTTTTACTCATTTCGTTTATATCTATTTAATTATTATAGAACTTTTTAGTTGCCTAGTTTTTTTTATATAAAATATTATATTTTTTTTTACAGTAAAAACTCCCCTAGTTATAATATACATACATTAAGAAACGTCTCCTTCTAAAAAAACAACTTATTTTTTAATGAAAGGTTAATAAACAGACCTAGAATAAATATCTCTAATATTTTATTTGCTTAAATTAGCCAAAAAGGGTATGTTTTATAAAAAATCTAATTTTTAATTTAATATTTTTTGTTTGTTTTTTAAAATTTTATTAAAGTCCTTTTTTCAAGAATAAAAAAATCACAATCGCTCTCACAAATAATAGTCGCTAATCTTGGTTTATTACTTAATAAAGCCAATTCTCCAAAAGACTATCCACTTTATAAAATGCCTACATTAATAAGTTAATTTTAATTTCCTTGTATTTGAATTTCTTAATCATAATCTTAATATTTCTTTATATGAATTGAAACTTATCCATTTAAAATAATATAAAACTTATCCCCAATACTTCCTTGTATATATTTAGTATTTTTGAGAAAGAAAAAAAAAGAAAAAAATTATGAATATTCTTTATTTACCTATTTTTATTACTTCCTAACCTTTTTTATAACTTTCATATGTCATATATTAACAACAAAGGCAATGTACATCAGATTTTCCTTTATCTGCTTAAGTTAAATCTTTGAAAAATTTAATATGTTCAGTACAATTTTATAAAGTTTGGATTTCCTAAGGTAATCTTTAATGCGGCTCTTTCGATAAAATATATAATAAATCACTTACCTTATATATTTTAATTTTTTTCTATTTTTTATTTTGTTACATTTTGTTAATGGATCATTTTTTTAGAAATATTTTTTTTTTATAGAAAAATTTTTAATTAGTTATTATTTAATTAATTATTATAAAATTAATTAATTATTTATTATAAAAAAAACCAAAAATATTAATAAAGTTTCACTAGTTTAACAAAAAAAAAATATAAAGTAAAAATTATTATTATAATAATAATATTTTAAATTTAATTAAATAAAAATTAATAATTTTAATTTGATTAAATATAGTATTATTAACAATTATATAAAAATACTAATTAGTATAATATTTTTATTGAAGTGTTAATCCAAAAAAGCAAAACAAAGAAATTATAGTATTTTTGTATTTAATATGAACCTAAAAATATTAATCTTCAAATAGCATTCTTAATAGTTTTTATATTAAAAATTCTAACTCTTTATGTTTTTTAATCTTCATCAAAATCATTAGTATTAAAACTAGTAGTAGAAAGTCTTTTTATTTACAAATCTTAAGCTGCACTAGTTTCTTTGATAATATAAATGTTATTGATATTGATATTGTTATTTTTGTTGTTATTTATATTAATATTAGTTTGATTGATGTTAGTTTTGCTCGGAATATTATTTATATAAGTATCCCCTTATAAATTTAAACAATTAATTTAATTATTTTAATCATTTATTTTATTATTAATATAAAAATTATTACTATTGATTTTATCTATTTTAATTTAATCATTTTACTATTAAATATTAAAACTATTTTCTGTTTTGCAATTAAAAGCAATAATCGAGTAAAAAATTTGTGTTATTAAAATAAAAATATAAATAGCTGCAAAAATAATAGTAAAGTTAATTTAATAAAAAAAGTAAGAATATAAAGTAATAACTGTATCATCATTTATATATTTAAAGTAATGATAATATAGAGCACCCAATTCAAAAATTCTTATAATTGCACTTATAATTACTATTTACATATTTATTTATTGTACATTTTTATTATCTATACAAATTAGCTTTTTTTAAAACAAAATCACATTTGAAGGAACTCTTAAATATATTAAATTTATTAATAAATAATTACTTGAAATTATACTTTATAATAATCCTATTCTATTCACAATTAAATTATAAATTAATAAAAGTACAGATAAACATCCACAGACTCCAAAATACTATATATTTAAAAATAAAATAAAAATAAATTATAAAAATACAATTAAAATATAATCAATAAAAGTGTTATTATAATTGAAAACATAAGTATTTTTATTAATAATAAAAAGCATAGAATAAAAAGTAGAACGAGAATAAACTTCAGTTCCATAATTAATAAATTCTTCAGTTAAATTAAATACTTAGCAAATTAAATATTCGCCATTATATAGTCCTAAATTAACAGCATTAATCCATATTAAATTGACTTGAATATATTACAAATTTAAACTTTAAAAAGCATGAAATGATACAATATATATAATTATTACACTTATAAATCTTGCCTATCAAAAAATATTTTAATTTTATTGTAATAGAAAATTACTTAAAAAAAAGAGCTACTGTAAAAAGATTAATAAACTTATTTGCTCTTTTCGCATTTAGGATATCTCCAATTCAAATATAAAATTAATATATGATCTAAAAATAATAATTTTGCTAGTATTACGTATTTATGATTATAAACTTCAATTAATTCTAATTTTAAAAAACCATAAAACCATTAAAGTATATATAATAAAAATATTGCTACACCATAATAAAAATAAATGCTATTCTCATCTTACAAGAGTTAAAACATTTAATATATATTTAAAATCGTAGACACTATATAAAATATTAATTAAATTAAATAACTTAAGCATTTATTTCGGAAGTTTAAATTTAAGGGAAAATTATTATTTTAAACCATATTTTTTAGAATTTTTGAAAATTCGATTTTAAAGAAATAAATTTTAAAGTTTTTAATATTTATTATTTTGCTTGTTTATTTTTAATTAAAAAAATATTTTTTATTATAAATTAAAGAAAATTATTAAGTTATAAATTTTTTATTATATGAAATCTACAATATAAATAAATGAAAAGATAAATTATATTTATAATATATATTATATTAATAATAATTTATTTGACATTATATTTTTATTATGTTAACTAATTAATATATAATATGTAAAATAAATAAATTATAAAAATAATAATTTAATAATTTTTATATTAAATATATAATAAAAATAATAAATATTATTATAAATAATTTGATTTAGCTTTAATAATTTTATATTATTATTTTTTTTATATTTAATTTTATATGTTTTAATTTTGATTTAAAAATATAAATAAAATATAATTTATATATTATTTTATTTAAAATTATATATATATTAAAAAATATTTAAAAATATAAAAAAATAAAAATATATAAATATATAAATATTTAATTTTCAGTATTAATTTTTAAAATAAATATAAATATAATATATTTAATTTGATTCATAAATTTTAACTAATATTTTTTTCTTTTATTTGAAGTTTTTATTTAAAAGTAAAAAATTAAAAAATTGAAACTTTTACTTTAATAGAAAAATTATATAAAGAGTCTATAATATAAATTAATTATTTTTTATTCATTTTTCTAAACAAAAAAAATATCAAATTTTTATTTAGTATATATAAATAATATAAATCATTTTATATTTGAAATACATATATATTTTTAAATATAAATTAAAATATTAATTTATGTTTAAATCTTTTAAAATAAAAAAATTAAATATTATTTTTATCTATATAAATAATATTAAAAAATAAAGTTCTATATTTATACATTAAATTTATAAAAACATATATATAATTAATTTTATTTAAAATATATATGTATAAATAAAAAAATATAAATTTATATTTATAAATATTATATATAATAAAATAAATGAAAAAATATAAATTTAATATATTATTTTAATAAATATACATTAGATATATATATATATATTTTTTTTTTTATTTTTAAATAATTTAAATCTTTTATATTAAAATAAAAAATTAATTTCCCATAAATAAAAATTAATATATATAATATATTTAATAAACAAATTTAATCTAAGAACCAATTAAAAACAAATAAAATGGAAGATAAATACCAATTTAAATAAAATAAAACTGGAAAGCCAATTTATAGAATTTGTGTAACAGGAGGTCCATGCGCTGGAAAAACAACAAGTAAAATAAATCTTTATAAAGAAAAAACTTAAAAATAAATTAAAAAAGGTTTAATCACTCTCAAAGAAAGACTCACAGAAAGGGGATTCAAAGTTTTTACTGTACCTGAAATACCAACAATAACAATGTTAGGAGGAGGAATGGTAAACAAAAAAAATATAATATATATTTAAATTAAAAAAAATAGATTATAATGAAAGGTCTTACAAACGAAAAAGCCTGCAGATTTTAGACTTTATTAATGAAGGAAGTTATGAATTTAGAAGACTACTTTTACGAGTTGGCTGTTTTGAATGATGAACCCGCAGTAATATTAATGGACAGAGGTAAAAAAAACAAATTAAATGAAAAATAAATAAATTAATTGAAATAAAAAAAGGTGTAATGGATGCTAGAGCATATATGGATGAAAACAGATGGTAAACAATTTTAGATGAAACCGGTTGGAATCCAGTATATTTAAGAGATAAAAGATACGATGCTGTAATTCATTTAATAACTGCAGCAGATGGAGCTGAAGCTTTTTACACTTTAGAAAACAATGCAGCTAGATATGAAGATGTACCTACAGCAATTAAAGTTGATTAAGCTTTATAAAATGCTTGGAGAGGGCATCCTCATCAAGTAATAATAGATAACAATGTACCTGGATTTGATAAGAAAATCGAAAAAACAGTCTAATCAGTAGAAAGATACATAGGAATTCCTGTGACATCATCATATTATAGAAAATTTTTAGTTTAAGAATGTATTTTTTTTTTTTTAAATAAATATAAAAATTTCTTCATTTAAAAGATGAAATTCCTAGTGATATAAAATGAAAAATTCGAAGTAGAAGAAGTGTTTTTACATACAGATACTGAAAAAAACCAATTCGAAAAATTGAGAAAAAGAGGACAAAATGGAGCCTTTTCCTATGTACATACTATCAGATAAAAAACAGATAATAAAGATTTACGTTGCGAAGTCAAAAGTAGTATTACTGCCCGAGAATACATTAACTTATATGAAAGAAGAAATAATGCTTATTAACCTATTAAAAAGGAAAGAATAACCTTTTTATATGATAAAATGTTATTTTTATTTTTTTATATAAAATTTATATTTAAATTTTAATTTAGTTCTTATATTCTTGAAAAATTCGATGGTATAATACTTTTAAGGTATGTATCAGATATTGAAGTATCGTATAACTTCGTATAATGTACGAAGTTAAGCAAGGAAGTCACAGAAGATGAGTCATTTTCAACTTTCCATTAAGCTTAATAAAAATGATGAAGAAGTGGGGGGTTTATTTTTAGAGTAAATTTTTTATTATTTTATATTCTTTTTTATTTTTTTTTATTTTTTGAATTTTTTCTTTAATTATATATTTTATTATTGTGTTTTTTTACTTTATATTTTTACTTCAAAATTAATAAATTAATCCTCCTTTTTAATATTTTTCATATAAAAATAAATTAAATAATCTTCATATTATTTTTTATAATATTATTATATATGATTATGATTTAAATAATCAATCTCAATAATTTGTTCTATTCTCGATTGTATATTTGATATGAAAATTTCAAATTACAATTTTCATTGTTTTAACCTAACCATGCTCTATATAATCATTATATTAGGCAAGTTTTTTAGGCCTTTTTATTTATTTTATTATATTTGCCATATTATCATCATCAATTAAATACATAAGGAGAAAATAAAGCCCATATTAAATTATTATAATAACTTTCATTTTTTTCTTTAAAAGGACTATAAATATCACTTAAATATTCTTTACATTTTTCATTTTTGGAATTTTCTTTGTAAAAACTACATAAAGTTTTTCATTTTATATATACCTTTTATCATTTGCTTATTATTTGGCTAATATTTAATTTACTTTTTAGAATATTATATATTTTTAAATATTTTATGTTAATTATTTTAATTAAATCTATAATATTTTTATGTTAATATTTCATTTATTTAAAAATTTATATATATAGATAGCTAGCATATTTATTAACCATGCACTCAAAATAATAAATCATAATCATTTAAAGCAATTTTATAATTATTTAAATTTTGCACTATAAATATAAATTATTTTAAGTTTTTTAAATGTATTTTATATAATTTTATTATTTTTGTTATATAGTTTTAATATCTATCTAATTATATTTTATTTATATTTTTTTATGATTAATAAAAAAACATTACAACTTAAAAGTATTTTTTTTTAATTATTATATCTTAATAAATATATAATATTTATTTTATTAATTTTTTTGTAAAAAATTAATAATTTTTTTAATAAATAAAAGATTTTTATTTGCTTAATGACATATAAATTTGTAAATAAAAAAATACTTTATATATTAAATATATATTTAAAAAATGTTAATTTAAAATTTTAATTATTATATATGTCATCTAAAAAATTAATTTCTAAAAGTAATAAATTTGTTTGCATTCATAAATTTAAAATATTTTTATTCTTTGAATTTCTTTGACACAATTAACAAAACCAATCATCTTCTGGAATTTATTCTAATTTTTCATCCAAACAATAAATATGAAATCCTTTATCGCATAATTCACATAAAATAATATTTTCTTCGTTTTCACTTTTTTGACAAACTTCACATATAACGGTATCATAATAATTATATTCGTAACTGTGTTTTTCACAATATACTAAATAATTTAAAAAATCAATTGCAATATTTTTCCTATTCTCAATTATACATTTAATATGAAAATTTTAATTACAATTTTTATTATTGCAACCTAACCCTGCACCAGATAATCCACATATAGGGCAAGTTATTTTTTTGGACCTTTTTATTTCTTTTATTACATTTGACATTTTATTATCGTCAGTTAAATATACTTAAGGAGAAAATAAAGCACATATTAAATGAGTATAATAACTTTCGTTTTTTTCTTTAAAAGGACCATAAATATCGCCTAAATATTCTTTACATTTTTCATTTTTGGAGTCTTCTTTGCAAAAACTACATACTATTTTTTCATTTTATATATATTTTTCATCATTTGGCTATTATTCGGTTAATATTTAATTTACTTTTTAAAAATTTATTTAATAAAATATTTATATATTGATTATATCTACTTAATTAATCTAATTTTTATTAATTTACTTTTTCATTCTATTCCATATTTCTTTGAAGTTTTATATTTATAGGAAGTTAACATATTAATTAACCTTCCACACAAAATAATAAATCATAGTCATTTAAAAGGATTATATCATTATTTAAATGTTGTATTATAAATATATATTATTTTAAGTTTTTTAATTATATTTTATATAGTTTAAATATTTTTTTTTATATTGTTTTAAGATCTATTTCATTCGCTTATATCTAAATTATCTTATTTTAATTAATTTTTACAAATTGGCATTCAATATTAAAAGTAATTGGTTTGTTTTCCATTTTTTTTCTTTTAATATATAAATTTATATTTTATTTATATTCTTAAATAGAATTAAATTAATTTTTTTTTATTATATATATTTTATAAACTTTTTTTATATTTTTAATTTTTATATCTTTTTTGTCATTATTCTAATTAATAAAAATAAAAAATAAAAATACTTAAACATTAAATTGAATATATATATATATATATATATATATTTAATATATTAAAAATTAAATAAAAAATTAAATATATTGTAAATAAACTTTATATAAATATAAAAATTAAAATATTGAATTTAATTTATCATCATGATATTCAATACAAATTACAAGAAAACATTTAAGGTATTCTAACATCACCAGAAACAACATTATCTAAAGTAATTCTTTAAAGATTCTTATTTTTTTTTTCTATAACAATCTAAATAGTATTTTTATTTATCTTTTTTTTTTTAAAAAAAAAAATAAAGTATTAAAATGCTTTAAAAATAAAAATTAATTTACTTTATTTTTAAAAATTTTTCCATAACTTCTATCTTTAAAATAAAGTCCAACTCCCCCGTTATCATGAATATCATTTTTTTTAATTAAGCATTTACTTTCTTTTATTAGCATAATACCTAATAGATTTTATTATATAAATAAAATGAAAAAGAAAAATAGTAAAAATTACCATTATATTTATTTTCAAATATTGAATTCTCAATTAATTCACAAAAAGAGCTTAAACAAATAATTCCATCAAAGTTTTCATAAATTTAATTTCTCATAATCCACGTATCAGATCCTTCAACAATAAAAATGCCTTCTCTTTCTCCTTTTTTGATAATATTATTAATGATATAAGTATTTACAGAATTAAATCCCCCTAAAGCAATATTAGCTTTTTTATTATTACTAATTTCATTATTAATAATATATGAAGAGCTACTTTCAACTAGTAGGATTCCCTTTCTTATTAAATAAATAAAATAAAGAAAATAAATATAACTAGTTAATATGTACCTATTATTTATTTGCTAATATATTATTTTAAAAAATAGAAATAGAGGCTTCTTCATCTGCTTTAATTCCAGCCTTTTTATTTGATTATATTTCTTTATTATTCTCAATTCTTGTATAATTATTTCGTCCTTTACAGTGTATTCCATTTTCTTTATTATCTTTAATACATTTATTGTTTTTAATCAAAGCATCGCATCTATAAATATATACATATAAATATATATATTATATAAAAATACCTAATAGAATTATAACAAATAGTTAAAATTCCATCAGTATAATTTCTTTCGATTTCATTTTAGTTTATTAAAGGTTCACCAGATATAACTTCTATTCCTATTAAGTTTGATTTTATTTTATTAAACTAAATTATGCTTTTGTTTGCTAATCCAACTTTTATTCCTGGTCCATTATTATTTTAGATTTTGCATCTTTCTATTAATACATCTCCGCTCTTAATTTTTTTAATTTATATATAAAATATATTTTTTTTTAAAAAATACTTCTCCAACACAATTTATTCCTACTTTGTTATTCTTATTTATTTTAGATTAATTTATATTTATAAAATTTTATTTTTCGCTCAAAATTTATATCCCTCCTAATTAATGTTCATGAATCTTGCATTGTTTAATAAAAGCATTTCCTTTATTTATTAGAATTCCTATATTTTTTTTTAAATAAAAATAAAAATAATAAAAACCTATAGTTTCTTAAGTTTTATTTCCTTTGATTTCTACATTATTTAGATACAAATTTCCTTATTCTTAAACTACAATTGCAGGTATAGGTTATATTAATTCATTTTGAATATATCTATTTTTGTTAGAAAATAATAATACAAAATCAAATAAAATAAACATTTTTATACGATAATGAAAAAACGCAATTTTATATTTTAGCAATACCCCCTTATAAATATAAAATAGTATTCATTTGTTTATTTAAAGGAAAAACATAAGGAATTTCATTTTAAGGCTAATATTCATATTAATTACTTTTCATTATATCTTTGTAATTGTTAATTTTCGATATAAAATAATTATCACTATTTTTTTTAAAAAAAATTATAGATATAAAAAAAATTATATAAATAAATTACTTTTAAATATCTTCTTAATTACTTGCATTATGATTAAATTTTATATTTGAAATACTACAAGATTAATTAGGAGCTAAATCCACAATTATAGCAGGTTTGTTTTCAATAATAATGATAATATCTCCTACTTTTTCTTTAGATTCAATAATTAAATTTGGTTTACTTTTATATTAAAAATATACTATTTTATGTTTTTCTTTTAGATAAAAATTAAAAAAATACTTTATGTATATATTATCACTATATAAACCTGGAGATATTTTTATTATTGAACCTATTTAAGCTTCATTTATTGCTTCTTGTATTGTTTTATAAGGCCCCTATTCTGGATCTGTTTTATTTTTTTGAAATCTATATAAATTAATAAATACTTAATTTTATTTTACCAACTATATAAATTATTTATGTACTAGATTTTTTTTTTATTTTTTTGCTTTTATTTCATCTATTAAATGTGTTGAAGCAAATTTAATAGAATTCTTAATATTCATTTATAAGAAATATAAAAATTTTTAAAAATACAAATGAAAATAATTATATTTAATAAAAAAAATATATATAAATGCTTTTCATATAAATTAAATAATAAATATCAAAATATTTTATTTTTTAATTTTTTTTGTAATTATAGAAATAAATGACATTATTTTTAATTATTTTGATATAATTTTAAATTAATAAATTATATTTTTATATAATTTTTTTTTTTTTTAATTAAATAAAAAAAATATTATATGTTTATATATATATATATATATATTTAAATATAATATATTCATATATATATATAAATATAAATATAAATATATATTAAAATATAAAAAAATATATAATTGATATAATAAATTAGTATTTTATTTTTGATAATTTTTCATTATTAATCCAAATATATTATTTTATTTTTATGAAAATTATCAATTTTAAATCCATCTAAATAACTTAAATTCTTAATATTATTTTATAGTTAATTTAAACTTTTGCTTATATCATTCTGAGACTCTTCATATTCTTCTTTTATAACACTTAGTTCTTAATGATTTTAATTAAAATTTTTCTAATTTAAATTATTGTCATTTTCTTTGTTTGAATAATCAAAGCTTTCATATTTATCGCTTTTTTAGCTTTCAATTTTATAATTTTACAAATCATCTTAAAACTATATATTTCTTGTTTTAATATCATATTTAAAATTCTATATTTATCAAAATATATAAATTTTAAAATAAAAATTAAAGTAATAATACTTAATTCATTAAAGAAGAATTTTAATATTTATATTTATTAATTATTTATTGTAAATCAATATTAATTATTTAACTTTCTTGATATTCGATTCCTAAATTTTGATAGAAATTTAGATTAATCATTCTATTTTATTGTATATAAACTTACGATTTAAAATTCTTTTTTAACGAAAAAAATAAATATTATATATATAAATATATACTCAAAAAATTTAAAGTGATATTATAATACTTAACAATAATAATTAAACCTATATAAAAAAAAATATTATTAAAATTAAAAAATTATTTGTTGATAATTAAAATACATAAGCATATGTATATTTAATTTGAAATAAATATTAATATATATAAATTTATTTATATTTTTTATATAAATAAAATGAATACTTATAATTTTACAAATTCAGGTAAATTTTCAGAAAAATTAATAAAACAACTTTCGTTTTTACAAGATCCTTAAATTAAACCAAAGAAACTAAAACATTCATATTCAAAATCTTTGAAATTCGACGAATAAATGCGTTCAAATTCATTAAAAAGCAACAATAATTTATAAAAAGAAAATATTTAATTGACATAAAAAATATAAAATTAAATAAGTCCTCGCTTTACTTAACAAACTTATTTGCCCAAACAAAATATAAATAAATTAAAAGAGTTTAATTTACTCCTTTAAAATTATGATAAATTATAAGAAAAAGTATCAGAAAATTAAATAATGCAATCTTAATCGCATTATTAAGAAATAAAAAATTGCCATAAAATGACACCTAAATGTGAAAATAATAGCAACAAATAGAAGAATTTAAATTAAATTATAAAAATGTTATCACCCCATAAAAGCAACGAATTAAAAAATATATAAAACACTTCCAAACAGCATCCCGAAAGTGCGAAAAACGCAAAAGTGAAATATTTTGACTTTAATTTATTTACAGCAAAAGATTCAAAAATAGCATTTATTTAAAATAAATAAAATAATTACTCGCAGAGTCAAATAAAGAGTTGCAAAGAGACTTCAAAAAACTTTGACTTTTAATAATAATAAGTTAAATAAATAAAATAACAATAAAACTAAAATAATAAAGAATAAAACTCATTTCAGGACTTATAAATAGTTTTGTTAAAAACAAAAAGAGTATTAAATTCTTATTAATAAAAAGAAATTAATTGGAAAAAAGAAAAAAAAATACTTTCTGAATAAGTTAAATAATTATAAAAAAGGTTATCTTTTTATGAAATAATTGAAGATTAAAGTAATTGATTTTTCTTTTTTTACATGTTAAAAAAATAAATAATATAAAATAAAATATAAATTCAAAAGAATACATATCTTATTTGTTTTTATTAATTTTTGAATTTTTCAAGATCATTAAAAGCTAGTTAATTTACTTTTTATATATAAAAAATTATATTTTAAATAATAAAACACCAAATTTTAAAATGTACATAAAAAAAATATTATATCAATAGAATTAGTATAACATTATTTATTATTTAAATTCAATTTTTTTTTTTTTTAATTTTTAAATTAGAGTATTAAGAAAAAATATTATATTTTCTATATTTAATTAAAAATTAAATTATTTATATATGTATTATTATAATTTAAATTTTTTACCTTTTTTGATTATTTTTTAATATGATTTCATTTAATTTATCTATAAAAAATTATAAAAATATAAATAAATGAAAACTTGAAAATAAATATAATATAAGTAAAAAAATTATAACAATAACTTATTCATCAGTATATTTAAGTTAACATATTTTTCACATAATATTATTTAAAATTTTATGGCAAAATTTCTTTTGAAACAACTTAATAATTAAGTAAGATTAATAAAAATAATAATATAATCAAAATATATTCAATAAAAATTACTATAAAAATATAAACTATACAATTTATGAGTTTAATTCGTAAAAAAGTATAAATAAATAAATAAAATAGCTTATTATATCGCACTTTTAAGCAAAAATTAAATTATTTAATTTTTTATTTTAAATATTTTAATATAGGTATAAAAAAAAAGATATATCAAATAGTGATATAGAAATATTTTTTTTATAAAATGATATTATATATTATTATTTCCTTATATAAATTTAAATAAGAATTTTTGATTAATAAAAGTGTCTTTTTGTAAAAAAAAGTAAAAATAAAATAAAAATATATATATATATTATATATATATAATTTAGTATATAATTAAATTGGCATAAAAAATATATTTTTTGGCATTTTAAAAAAAATAAATAATAATAAATAAATTTTTTAAAAAATATATATACTATTAAATAATAATATAAAAATATATTTAAACATTTTATATATAAACATATTATATTTTATATATAAATATATTTATTTATAAAAAATAAGTCATAAAAATAATTAATATACACATAATATAATTTTCCTACACATATCATTCTATTTTAATTTATCATTTTGTATACTTATATTATTTTATATGAATATCATTTAAATCCCCTATTTGAATTTTACTTAAAAGCTCAATATGTTCTTGAATATTTTTGATTTCTGTTTAATATAATTATTTATTTTTGAATTATTCAATAAAATCTAACAAAATCTTATTATATTTAGAATTATTATAAATTTTTATGAAAAATTAATTACTAATAGTGTTTCTCTAAAACATTCTTTATAATGAAATCTTAGTTCTTTAAGGTTTTACGTAAACTAAGTATTTTTTGAAAGAATTAAGTATATTTTTAATAATATTTCCTACAGAAGAGTTGGATTACTGCATATTTTTTTTATTATTTTAAGATTTTTTCTCCTTATTTTTAAAAGATATTTATTATTACTATTTATTTTATTAAATTTATTATTATTAACTGCTTTGAAATTACATAATCGAATTTTACAATTACTAATTTTATTAGACATTAATAGTAAACTAATTTTAGTATTCTAATCTTTAAATTGGCTATATATCTTCAAGTTTGATGTTTTAAATAAATTATTAATTTTTCATTGAATTAATTTATTTATTTGATTATTACATCTAGAAACTTTGTTAATTTGAATTATTTTCAAAATGTTATTGTTATTATTAACTTAAGGATACATGTTATTATTATTATATTTAATATTATTGGATTGGATAATATTATTATATTAATTAATGTTTTTATTATTATTATAAGTAAATGGAAGGAATTCGAAATGAATTAGTTTACATATAGCATGGCTAATTTATTTAATAATTTTATAATTGACTATTATGTGTGTATTGATTAGAGTTTTGATCTACTATGCAAAAAAAAACAGGTTAGATAGGTTATTAATTTGTGATTTAATATTAATAATTGTTTAAAAAACTTTATTATTACATTTATTACATCTTTATTAGTGTTTTTTTAATTAATTCTTATATAAAAATTATGATATTTTTTCCCCTTATTATATATAAATTTGTTTTTATTATATAAATGTATTATTTTTGTATTCTATAAATAATTTATTTTTATTAATAACATAAATTTTAATTATTATATATATTTATATTATAATATTAAATTAAATATATTTTTATATTTTTAAATATATAATAATCTCACATTAGAACTATCAATAAATTATTATAATTTACTATATTTTAAATTAATAATTATAATCTATATTATAAATTATATTTTTGAAAAGATATGCAAGTAAAATAAAAACATTAAAATTTTATTACTATTTAATGCACATTTTTGGACATTTAAGGAAAAAGAAAAAAAATCATGATTTAATTATAAAATTTTGAATTTAAAATATTTTTATTAAAAAAAACTATATATATTTTATATATATTTAATAAGTTATTATAAAAATATATGACTAAATTTATTTTATCTTTTATATATTAATAATAATAATAATTTATTATATTTAAATTTTTTAATGTATAATTTAAATAAATAATTTAAATTTTTTTATAAAAAAAACTAAAATTATATAAATGTCTTAAGAAAAAAGTAATACACTAATATATTAATATAAATAATATTTTTAAAATTATTTAGATATATTGAAATTAATTTTATTTATTTTAAAAAAATAATAAAATATGTTAATTAAATGTAAAATATAAAATTATAAAGAATAATATAATATAAAAAATATAATTTAAATTAATAATTATAAAAATACCAAATAATTTTTTAATTAAAAATTATAAGTTATATAGTAAAAAAAGTAAAAAAAAACAAAAACATAAAATAAAAAAAAACTATAAGAATTAATAAAATTATTAATTTATTTATTAAATCTTTTATAAAATATATTATGCAGTAAATATTATTTTGTAAATTATATATTATTAAAATAAAAAACAAGTTAAGTAATAAATTAAAACCGATAATTAATAAAGCAAATAATTAAAAATACAATTTAAAACAAAAAACAAAAATAAATAAATATAATTATATACAAATAAAAATAATATTTCTATTTAAAAAATCATATTAAAAAAAAAAAAATTAAACAAAACAAAAAAAAAAATTCTAAAGAATATGTATAAAAAACCTCAAAAAATGGAACATTTAACACTACAGCAAAACTATTATTTGTTTTCAAAAATATTCTAATTATCAACTAAATTTTTTTTATAAATATTTTAGCTATCTAACAAATTATTATTATTATTAATTTCCTATTTTTTATTATAAAAAGTTACCGAATTGCTTTCAATAGTAAAAAAATCACTATCCGCACTTTTTTCCTCCTCCTTTTACTCCTAAATTCTAAGTGGATCATCTATTATTTAATTAGGATAACTATAAACGAAATCACTTTATCCTCTATGAGCTCTAAGTATAGAGTCTTCATTAAAATAATTTCTCAATTCATCCAATTTATGAATAATAATTATTTTTTTTTCACTTTTTCTGCCAAAAAAGGTTTAAATATATTATAAGCTTATTTCATTAAAAAACTAGGGTACAAAACATAAACATAAGCCAATCTTTCTGCATAATTATCTTAAAACATACCTATTAATTCCTTCATTAATTTAATAAAATTCATATCTAAATTTTTCCTACTAATCCCTTCCCTATCCCATAAAACTGACATTTTCTAAGTCCCACTTTTTTCCGCCATTTAAATCCCTATTTCCATTATATAAACAAAAAATTTCATTGTCTTTAAAAAATTGGTCTCTGACGGAATATGATTCCTTATTGTTACTACACAACATGGATTTCCCTCTTTATCATATTTATGCCAATAAGCTTTTCCGCTTATTAATTCGCTTTCAATATCATCTACATTTATTGAGTCTATATTATATTCTTGACGCCACTTTAACCATTTCTCCCACATTATTTCGGAATTTTTTAGATCATATTCTCGAGCTTTTAATAACCTTAATAAATGTTCGCGATCGCATATTTTTTGATAGTCTAATGATTAGTATTGGGGAGTTTATGATATTATGAGTTTTATTTTTTCGATAAATTAATTTAATATATTTTCTTATTCTTTTGTAAGCATCTTATTCATATTTTTATTTTTAATTTTTTTTTTATTTGAGAAACAAAATACTATTAAAAATAAAAGCAAAAAAAATAACAATATAATATTAAATAATAAATAGAAAGAAAAATTAATTAAAAAAAAAATTTATAAATATTAATTTTTAATTAAAAAAACTTATAATTTTAAATTTATTTTTTTTTAAAAAAAAAAAAAAACTCTTAAATAAAAATATTAAATATAAAAATATGGACTTAAGTACTTTAAAATTATATTCCCAATCCCAAAAAAGCTACCTTCCTCCTAAAATAACTCCCCCAGACTTCAAATAGCCAATAGCAAATAAAACACCAAATGAAAACTTACAAATTTAATATAACGAAGACGAAGGTGAAATCGAAAGGTAATTTAGTTTCGCCCCTTATACAAATAATAATAGTATAAAGAACGGTTCCGTAGCTTTCAAAAACTCAACACCTTAATGCTCTTATAAGAATATATATGTAAAAAAACCATCATAAAAAAGACGATCTTAATTTTATTAAAATAGTGAATTTGAAACTGAATAAAAAAACGATATATTTTAATAGTCAACCTATAATTTTTAATAATTGTAAAAAAAATAATCATTTACATTTTAAGAGAAAAAATGGCGAATTTTATATAGGATTTTCGCCTTTATTTTAGTCTTGAAAAAAAATTGCATTTCTTTTAATTATTTAAATTAAACGCAAATCTCATTAATCAATGATTTCTCTAATTATTCGGAAAATTAAAAAAAAAATTAGTATTTCTCCTAAAAAAAAAGCTAATTTTCAAAAACTTTCCTAATTTCTTGTTTGATAAAAACAATTTAAAAAATACCCATAATAAACCCGAATTCATCCATCTTGTACATCTGGGACATCATAAATTTCACTGCAATAATCTGTTCGATAACCTATATTCCTATAGAATCAGTAATAACCCATAATTTTATCGAATACTATGGTTAGAAATGGATGTATTGCCAATATGTATCCATAATAGTCTACATATGCTCTATTTTGATCAACTTTAACCTCGGTTACTATTATTAAGGCTAATGTATAATGGAAAGACCTAAAATATTCCAAAAATACATTCAAATAGAATTCTGGATGGATATTCTATCTACGATTCCTATAATTTTAAGCATTTTACAAGTCAAAGGGCTAGTAAAGATCTTAAACCAGCTAGTAATTCTAAAAATATTTTGGGTATAAAAATTCTTCAAGAAATACTTTGAAATCTTCACCCTAAAAAAGCTCTATTACCACAACATATTTTTAAAATTTGTAAACATTATTTTAAATGTACTTTTAATCGCACATGGCTTTGCTTGTACTTTCCTAGGCTTGGGAACATCAATAAAACAAGAAAAAACATGGATTACTGAATATGATAGCATGCTTTAATATTCAGGCTGGTTTTCCTAATATTTATATGCCTTTTATTGGGCTGTAGTGACTATGACTACAGTTGGCTTAGGTGATATTTAACCTAAAAATAAATATGAAGTGGGTATATATACTATTTTTTTATTTATTTCTTGCGGAACTTTCGCTTATTCTTTTAATGCAGTAATTAATATTATTTAAGAATTAAATGTAAACATGAAATAGTTTTCATAATAAATGAGGATTTTTAGTAGGTATTTTGATGCTAAAAATATCAGTAAGGAATTATAGTTGGAAATAAGAAAATATCTCGAGTATAAGTTCGATTTTGAAAATGAGATTTCTATATAGGAAGAACAGGAAATTTTATAAAAATTAACGCCTTAAATATAAGAGAAACTATTATTAGAGTCCAATATGTAGTTTATTAAGAATTGTAGTTTTTTATATAAGAATTTCTCGTCAGGTTTTATTTAAAAATTGGCTTTGTTTTTAAAACCTTAATGCCTTATAAATGGGGAATGCGCATATTTATAAAATAGAAATTAAGAAGATTCGAAATTATATTTTATAGAAAAAGGATAAATTTAATTAATTTCTAATAATGTGAAAGTTTTATAAACTTTGGAAAAATAAAAATCTTTTGGAATTTATGAATTCATAACTTAAGAAAAGTCCCTTTTAAAAGCAAAATGCTTAGGAGCTACTAAGTTACTTGTTTTAGAAAAAAATGATTTTTTGGAATTAATTAAATAATATCCGCTTGATTATTAAATTTATTAAATGATTAAAGATAATATTATTAATAATTAAGTTTCTAATTAATTATATTTAGAGTGTTATTTATGTTAAAGTACTTCACATTTTTATACTTTTTGTAATAAATTGCATTATAACAGATAAAAAACCGTTATATTGAAAGTAATAAAACATATATTTTATTTTTATTTTTATAAATAAATATAGTATTCTTTTTCATAAATCTAAAAAAGAAATAAATTTAGAAGAAAGTTTAAATATAAGTTTAATGTAAGGGGTGATTTTAATTAATTTTAATTTGAATGTTAAGCCTTTTAGTAAGAAAATGATTATCTTTTTAATATTTATACTAAGGAATATTAAAAATCTTTCATACATATGAATTCATTAGATGATGATTAATTACCAAAATCCCCTATAGTATAATTATAGTAAATAAATATGATAATAAACCATGAATAAATATAAAAATAAGGCTCTTAAATAACAAAAAAAAACTCACTAATAAACTAAAGCTATATAGATAAATAAAATACTATTTAAGAATTTAGAGATAATTTATCTCCTTATCAAATAAAAAGTTTTAAGAAATAAAATATTCATTATAAATTTTAAAGCGATAATTTATAAAATAAAATTTATGAATCATTTTCAACTGTAAATATTGATAATATGAAGATTTTCTAAAATTATTATAAACATAATAATTATGATAGTGTACTTAGGTAATACAAATAATTTTTAATAGAAAAAAAATATTCTATTAAGAAAAATCTCTAATATCATTTATTTAATTAATGAAAAAAAAGATATTAATAATAAATATACATAAGTTTATATATATTAAAATAAAAAGAAAAAGAAAAATAATTCAACTTCCCCATACTTTTTTAAATTTGTTGAATATATTTTCACTTTTATTCTCGTCCTAATTTTAATACCCCTCTTATTTATCTTCTTATTCTTTTTTCTCATAAATTTTCTAATCTACTTTCGGTTCAACTTAGGCTAACTATTCATATAAACTTCTCATTTCTCTACTCAAATTTTAAGGAACTATTATTTTTATAACTACATAATGATTTCCTCTATTTCCACTATCAAGTTCAACTCCCTTTTTTTAATTTAAAAAAAAAAGTATAACAAAAAACTATGTAAATATATATAATACCATATTTTAAATACAAATTCTATCCCCATGTTAAACTCCTGGTTAAATATCTTAATCTTTCGTTCCATCGAGAGTTTTGACTTAAATTTTAGTTCCCAAAACCGCTTAAGAAATAGTTATAAAATGCTAACTAATAATATCATTATTTTCTCTTTGAAAAAATTTATCTTCTTTCACCAAAATTTTTATAATTAGATCTCCTGGAATTCCATTACCTTCGATTTCGTTTCCCTATAATAAAAAATTTATAAATAATAAACAAAAACAACATATATAATATAAAAAATACTTTTCTTGGAATTTTAATTGATTATCCATTCTAAACCCCTCTTGGAATTTTAATATTTTCTTCATATTTATTTACACTTAAACCACTTCCTTTACAATTAGTACAAGGAAATTTAATAAACTAACCTTCTCCATTGCATTTAGAGCATGCCATTTAAATAGTCATAGGCCCCTACCTATGATTTACACTTCCTTTCCCTGCACAAGCCGAACATCTAATAGGAGAAGTGCCATCTTTACATTTGCTGCCTTTACAAACACTACATGCCCCTTTTCTAGTATAAGAAACCTTTTTTTCGAATCCATTTATGGCTTCTAAGAAAGAAGCATCAATGTTTACTATGATGTCTTACCCTTTCTATACACGGCCAAATCCTTACATATTAAATACTTTTTCGAAATCACCGAAAATATCATCAGCTTAATTTGTATTTTAATATTATTTTTAACGTTGAAAATCTCCTTATGGGCCTTAACTTAGAGCGTCACCGGTTAAATCATACATTTTTCGTTTATTTTCATCCTTTAAAATATCATAGGCTCTATTTTTTTAAATTTTATTTTGTTTATTTATTTGGTTTTTTTAATATTGTGATTTTTTACTCATTTATTTCTTCTAATTTTTATATGGCTTATTATTAGTTTTCTGGGTTTTTATCTGGATGATGTATTTGAACTAATTTATAATAACTTTTTTTTATTTCTTCTTGCGATGAATCACGAGTTACGTTTAATGTTTCTTTATTTTTATTTATTTTGTTTTTTTATTATTTTTAATTGGAATTTTTTTTGTAATTTTTTTTTTGAACTGTAATAGTCTTTATTTTGAGTTGAAAATGCAAATTTTATAGAATTTTTAAATAATTTTTTTATCATTTTTTATATTTTAAATAACTTTATATTTTATTTATTATTGAAATTTTAAAATATTTAATAAATTCTTTTTGTATTTTTGCATAATTTCATTATTTTTATACTTTATATATAGATTATTGAAATTTAAATTAACAAAATTTAAAATAAAGAATTTAATATTCAATATTGTATTATTTATATATAAAAATTAATTAGAATTTTTTTTTAAAATAAAAAAGTTATAAACTATTTAAATTTATTTTAGTAATTTTTTTTTTTTTTTTTAATAATAATTATTTACACAATAAGTAAATAATATGATTATATTATAATTTAAAAAAATTATAATTTTTTTTATAATTTTTCATCTTAATAATAATAATTAAATATAAATAAAAATAAATAAATTTAAATATAATTAATTATTAATTTTTATTATTTATCAAAATATATATAAAATATTAGTTATAATTATAATATATATATATACTTTCAAATATAACAAAATAGAAATGAATTTATAAATATAAAACACTATAATAAAAAAAATAAACGGATTTTCTAAAAGATTTGATGAATTGTAAATATTTTCATACATTATATGCATTTCATGCATATTATTTTATACTATATGTATTTTTCCTTTCTTAAAATCGAAATTATAAGTATTAATTATTCAAAAAAAATAAAAAAAAATCGCATATATTTATTTTATTAAATCAAATAATTTTATTATCTAAGATAATTTCATCCATTACATATTATATTAGTTTTTTTATAATGTGTTTATTTGCATTTATATGTACTTATTCAGACCCAACAGATCCATTAATAGCATATTAAAAATGTTCAAATAACAATATGTAAAAAACATATAAATATTAAAGAATAATAAAAAAAAAAGTAATGAAATAGATTTATAAAAATTCGAATTTTATTGTGCAGAATGTAATGCAATAGTTTAAGAAGATTCCAAGCATTGTAGAAGATGTAATAGGTATTTTTTTATTTCTCTAAATAAATAATTTGATTATTTTTTTTAGATGTGTAAATGGTTTTGATCATCATTGCAAATGGTTAAATAATTGTATTGGAATTTCAAATTATAAATATTTTTTTTTATTAATATTTTTTGTTTTTATAAATGCTTGTACTCTTTTAGCATTTCTTATACATAATATAATTATTATTAATGATTAAAAACTTAGTTATCTGTAAATAATTACGATAAAATTTTTTAATTGGACTATAATATTTATAATGAGTATTTGTGCAATTTTAGATTTTAATTTGCTTATTTTTCATACTTGGTTAAGATATTATAACTTGACTACTTATTAATATATTATAAACAAAAGAAAAATTACTGTAAAAAAAAATTACAGATAAATGTATATAAATTCATAAAATTTAAACTTTTTTTATTTTTTTTAAAATATATATATATATATATATATACATATACATATACATATTTAACTTTAATATAAGAAAGGATAAAATAATATAAATGATCAAAATCTTTAATTAAAAAAAAATTCTGATAACTATTTTAAGAAGTATTTTGTTATTTTTTTATTAAAATATAATAAAAATTTAGTTTATTTTGTATTAAAAAACTAAAATAAAAAACGAACTCTATTTAGCCTTTAAATTTTCCTTAATTAGAATAAAAATAAAACTAAATATAATTTAATGAAAAAATATAATAAGAAATAGATTTAAATAGTAATTAAATTATTTAATAAAGCAAATTTAACTTAAATTTAATAGAAGTAAATAAAAAAAACAAAATATAGAAATAAATAAATATATTTTTTAGTAAATAATAGATAAATCAAGATGTAATAGTGTAGATATATTAATAAATGATCATAACACAGAAATTTTAAGAAATAATTTAATAAATTAATAAAATTTAAATTAGTAATTTAGTATTAACAATAAGATGCTATTATTGAGCTAACAAAATAAAAAATATATTATCAGTTAATTAAGTAAAGAAGAAATTTAATAAAACAAAGAATCAAATTAACTTATTGGAGTAAATAAATTTAATATTATAAAGGTAAAGCCTTAGCAAAAAATAGAAATATCATCAAATTATTAATATTTTTTAAATAAAAAAGAAGAATTTTAAAAAGTTTATACAAATACAAATGACGTTAATAACTTTATTTAGGAAAAAAATATTAGTGAAACATAATATATAGATAATAATAATAAAAATAAAAATAACAATGAAATTTAAAATAAAAAAAAAAACAGAATTAAGTCTTTGAATGGTATCAATGAAATTAAAATACAAAATAAAAATTTGTAAAAAAATATTAAAAAAATATCGAGAATTAGTGAAAAAGGAAAAAAATACAAAAAGACAATATCTTTAATAAAATAAATTGATTAAGAGTTAAAGACAGAATTTTTTAGTGTAGATTAAAATATCTTTAGTAATAATATAAATTAAAATGATAGTAATATTAAATAGTAAATTATTAATTAACATGAAATTTTTAGTTCGCCCAAAATAATTAATAAAATTTGAAAATATAAATATTAATTTTAAAATATTAAAAAAAATAACAATATTTAGTGAACTAAAAAAAAATAATATATATTAAAATCTATATATATATATTTTATTATTTAAAAATTATTCTTACTATTATTATAAAATTATTTTATTATTTAAAAAAAAATTAAAATTTTTGAATATAAAGTATTTGATTAAATTTAATATATGCTTAAAAATATTATAAGTATTTTAATAATATTAAATAATTAAATTGATAAAAAAAAAATAACATAATTTAAAAAGATAATTTTTATTTCAAAAATACAAATAATAATATATCATAATATTTATAAATATTAATGAATATTTAGATTATAATTTTATTTAATCATATTATAATAGAATTTAACATTTATTAAATAATGTAAATAATAATATAGTTATATTGCATTTAAAAATATCAAATAAAGTAAAAAATAATAATATTTATATTATATTATATAAAAATATAAAATATAATTATTATATATTTTATATATTAATTTAATTTTATATATTTTATATTTAAAATAAAAAAAATACTATAAAAATATTTATTATAAAAAAATATTATTTTAAATTAATATAAAATAAAAAAAAAATTAAATTATAATATGATATGAAAAAAAATAAAAATATAAAAAATTATAATATATTAAAATATTTAAATTATAATATATTAAATATATATTAAATTAAATTAAATTAAATTTATTTTATTTTAATTTTATTTTATCATAATATATCTTTATGAGCTATCATTTTTAAAATAATATTTTTAATTACGTAATCAATTTTGAAATTTATTTCTTTTTTTTATATATTTTCATATTAATCATAGTAGCATTTTTTATATTTTCAATAGAACTATTATATTATTTACACTCTTTATATTTTTTTTTCAATTATTACTTTTAGAATATTTTAATATATTTAATTATATTATATATTCTTTTAAATTATCATATATACAATTTATTAATAAATAATATTGTTTTAACTTCTTCATTTTTAATTTATTATTTTTATTTTTTATAAAATAAAAGATTTTATTAAAATGAATGATATTTGCTTCATATATTTATAAATCTTTTCCGAGTTTCAATATTTATATAAAATTTTAGTTTTATAATAAATTATTCTTTTTTTATATTTATTTCATTACTTATGATATATTTAATTATTAATGTATTATTTTGTTATAAGAATTTAATTTATAAAATACTTAAATTAACATTATTATAATATATTATATAATTTTTAAGATAATTTTTAATATTAAATTTATTATAATTAAATTTTTTATTTTAAATTTAATATATTTTATACTTTCAATAATTAAAAGACTTTTGTATCTTAAAAAATATTATAAAGTTATTTATAAAATACATCTTTTTAAATATTTTAATCAATAATAATTTAATTAAATTATAATATAAGTCTTCTTATTTTTTAAATTCTTAGCAAATTATTAATTTTATAATTTAATAAGCTTTATGAAAATATTATTATTATTACTTAAATAAATAAAATGTATGTATATTATATAATAATAGTTATTCTTTGAATCTTAAAAATCCGGTTTCTAAACATTTAAAGCAATTTAACAATTAAAATTTACTAATTTATGATAAAAACTTAATATATATACTTAATATTAATAAATGTAAAATGTAATACCCTATTTTACAAAATAAAGTATTATTTTTAGTATATCTTATATGATTATATATATTAAAATTAATTTAAAAAATTTTGTATAAATTAATTTAATAAATTGTTATTTAAAACTTATGGTATATTTAGATAAATTTTATATTTATAATAATAATATTTGATTTAAATTTTAGAATAATATATATATATAAATATGGATAATTATATATATATATTAAAATTTAATTATATATAATATATTTTTATAAATATAAATATACTTTTATATATATATTATATATATTTATATTTATATATTTATATATATATTTATATGTTTTATATTTTTATATTTTTATCTTATTTTTTTTTCATTTTTCATAATTATTTTTAAAGTAAAATATATTTATATATATCACATAATTTTATTTTACTATTATATATTATAAATAAATTCACTTATTTTTTTAA